TATATATTTATTTATGGAATCCATTATTGATTTGTATAACCTTGACAGGAGGGTTACTGTTATCTTGGGTGTCTGAATTTGTTTATACAATTCAGGTTCTAGATCACTGGAATTTTGGTTTCTTTTGAACTTGATTCACTTTTAAAATTATCTTCCTGCTTAGTTCTTCAAAACCTTTTTGTATGTCAGTATAATAAAATTGGAGTGTTTTTATTATTATTATTATTATTATTAAGGCATGCAATTTGATGTTCGTTCAGGGGCATGTCAGATAAGTTGAGAACAATAGGATTTTGAAGTTTGAATAGTTTGTCACATTATTATATTTTTGGATTTGACTATGATTGAAATTTTTTGGTGAACAAATTCTTGCTAGCTTGAATATTTGTTGAAATATAGGTTTAGGCCTGTTGTCTTGATTATTAGTAACAATTTCAGTTTAATGAATGTTGGTGCGAGACAGTTACTTTGAAATTTCTTTCGAGGTGATAAACTCCACTGTTTTATTTCTTTTTTCAATAGGATTTTTTTTTTTTAAGTTACAAAAAAGGTCTTTACATTTTACCATATTGATTTGTGATTTTGTGGAGAAGTGGCATTGTAGACTTATGGTTAACTCTATCAAGTAACTATTTGTAGAATAAGCCTAATATTACCCTAGCCTGACATTAGCTACAAGTCTGTGGATGTGAAGTAAAGAAACTCGAAAACAAGAGACATTATTAAAGAAAGCATTTTCTTGCTTATGTTGCATGCAAAAATTAATGCTTAGTGAGGAGCCTACTAAACTAAATAATTAATTCAAAAATACAATAACAGCAACAGTTACTGTATTTTTGAATTAATAATTTAGTTAAGTAAGTTTCTTACTAAATATTAATCTTGGATAAATTAATTTTTAGTGAAATTAAATTACAAAAATGTCTTGCTTATAACAAGTTAGCAAAACTCCAGTAATTAGTTTTTCAAATTGCATATAAGATTGCACATCATACTTGATAAGTTATCATACAATGATAAGTTTAAAATTAAGCTCAAATTGGGCGAGTGAATATAAACTATATCTACATTGCAAATAACAAGTTTTCTTTATTAAACCTGTTTCATGATGAACATACCACCTTGAATTAAAGAAAATAACCATGACTTTATGATGTCAGAACATTAGAGTTCTATCGAAGAAACATTTGTTAAAAGTAAATTACATCACTCAAGTAATTGTTATACGGCAGGTTATTTGTACGTGCCATACATCTGGTATTAATAATAAATTACAACCTTATGCAAGCTGAAATTTCATATATTTTATATCTTAGTTTTCTAGACTATTTAAGGGTTTTATTAAAATCTGGTGTAGAAACCTGATTATTACTAGAAAATAAAGTTTACATGCAATAAGACAGATTAGGCTGTGAACTGGATTTTTGTGAATTAATTGTTCTAAATGTTTTTTTTTGCAACAATACATTATTGATTGGGTATTTATTTATTTATTTAAATGCTAAATCTGAATTTATTTAAAAGTTATTAATTTGTTATATAGTCATGAATCGTTTGCGGCGAAGTCTACGAGAAAGTTTGCGGCGAAAGAAAGATAATATTCCAGAGTGTAGTAAACCACACCAGTGGCAGACGGACGAGGCTGCAGTGAGAGCAAACACGTGCAACTTTTATGTAAAAGTAAGCTTATTTATTCAGTAAAGGTAACACTATTTCAGGTGTATCTATGAAAATTCACAATCAGTTTTTAGGTTACTTTAAATTTGACTTTAAGATTAGTTGCTCATTAAAAATAAGAATTTGCTAGGGAAAAAAAATCTTGTAAAAAGTTGAACTGAGTATAGTTTGCTTCCAAGTGTTACATGTATTTACATTAATAGAATATTGAAGTAAATTACAAATTGTTATTATTAAATTAACTCCTTAAACCTGAGCGGATACTGCTAATATCTAGCTGTAAATCCTAATTTACCCATCAGATGGTAACAGTGTTCGATAACATTTGTCTCTTTGGCTGAAAACTAATCCAAACTATGTTATTATCCACCTTTTACAAAAAGACTAGACATTTTATAATATAGGATGATAATTATTAGGACATAATCAAAACAATTCCTGTAGGATGTGCAAAAAAATTATAGGTTTAAAAAGTTAAGATATTAACTTAAAGAAATAACTTTTTAAAAGTTAATTTTTAATATATTGGAATTCTTTTTTTATTTTGGAGAATTGTGTAAATATAAATATTTAAAATCATATATGTGTATGCATTGTTATGAATAGAGAAAAATAGTTATTTTATTTTAACTGACAAGTTTTAGAAATATTTAAATACTACATTTGAAGAAAATTCCAATAACACAGGCTTGCATATTTAAACTTCATAAAAGTTGTTTGGGTTTTATTAACAGAGTTTTTCCATAATTCAGCTATGCAGATATTGAAAAGAATATATATATATTTTTTCTATCACATAAGAAATTTTTAAAAATTGGGAAGAAAAAAACTCTTACTTAGATCTAGTTATTATGTCATTTATCACAATGAACATTATTTATTATATTTGTTAACAAAAAATACAAACAAACTGAAGAAAAGGGAAGAGCATTGATGTCAAACAAATGTGCATCCCCATTTGTGTGTGTGTGTGAAATCTACATTTTTTAGTCTCAAACTATGTGTTGTGGTCTTTCTTTTATGTATTGCGTCTGGAGCATCTAGTTTCAATGACCAGCAGTAATCAGCCATCACGTTGATGTTCCACCTTTACTGATACCTCCTCTCCATTTCCCTGATGAAACCTTTCCCCTTGTTTTTCGCTGAGATTTTCATGGAAATAGTAAATATTTGATTGTAAAAAAATTAACTTTCAAGCTCATATTACAACCTTACTCTTTGAATTTATCAAGCATGTTATTGAAAATATTTTTGTAATTTGGGTTCTTGTTGTTTCCTAAACATTTGTCAATAACATCTTTAAAGGTAATCCATGCTTCTTTTTTTCTCTTTCTTCATTGTCATTTTGAACTGTTCTGAAATCAATTTCCCAATCTGAGGCCCAACAAATATCCCTTCTTCAAGTTTCGCTTCTGGAAGAGCTAGGAATTGCCCACATAGATACTTGAAACAGTCGCCATCTTTGTCTAAAGCCTTTACAAACTGCTTTATCAAGCCCAGTTTGTTGTGAAGTGGAGGCTATAGGACTTTCATGGTCAACAGAACTTTCATGTTCAGTGTTTTTTGATTCTGGTATCAGGCTGACTCTGCATGGCCATTGCTTCTTTATCCAATGCTGATTTCCTACTCTGCTGTCCCATTCACACAGAAAACATGGAAACTTTGTATAACTGGATTGTTGACCCAACAACATACAAAGGACTTTTAAGTCTCTACAAAGTAGCCAATCATGTTATTTGCATTTGACCTTATTTAGAAGAAGTTCGAGATTTTCAAACTTTTCCTTCAAATGAACCAAATAAGCAATAGGAACAGATGCATATATGTTACCATTGTGAAGGAGAACACCTTTTAGACTTCTTTTGGAGGTATCAATGAACAGTTGCCATTCACTTGATTCATAGACTGCAGTTCCTAGAATTGGTATTAATTCAGCAATATTGTTGCAATAAAGCAGTGAACCTTCTTATGAAAAGTATGGTATAAACTCTTTCTCATAATTTCTGTACAAGTAAAATGATGTCCGTGAAAAAAGTAAGTTCTTAGCCCAAAGCCTGGACCCCACAATCTCCGAAGAATCCTCTGGAAGGCCTAAATCTCTCCTCAAATCAATAAGTTCACCTTATGTGAAAAATTATGGTTCACCAGACATTTCAGGTTGAAAACAATCCCTGTCATCATTTCTATTGACATCAGATTCAGAATCAAATGAAACTTTATCAAGAGTCTCTAGTGGAGTTAGGTACAGGTACATCAGGTCCATGAGCAGTAGGTCTTATAGCAGATTGAAGGTTCAGATAAGAAATGTCCATTTTATTTTGAGTGTTGCAGCCTTGTATTACATGAGCAAAAATAGCAGTCATCTCTGTGGTTTCTAGGCTCATCCCACACCATTGGAATTCCAAAAGGCAAAGACTTTTTTCTTACCTTTAGTCCATTGCCTCAACTATTTGCTGAGCTCATGATTTGTCTTGGGCCACCCAAGTATTATCCCAAAATACACGTAATGCACTTTGTTGATTAATTTGACTTGATTTCAGTGAAAATTATTTGCATATGTAAAAGTACATATGATGTTTGTGAAAAATCTGTGATGGAGAAAAATGGATATGATTTAAAGATTCAGCTTACAGGAATTACTGTAGAACATGTAAAAATTTCAAGGCAATAAAACCATCTTAGGCCTGTGTAATCAGAGCAACTGAACTTCATTAAAAGTGATTCTGTTTAAATGAGCCTTAAATGTAGTTTTAAATCTTAATCAGTTTTAAAATATAAGAAATGCTTTTAGAACCCAGTGATATTTCTTTAAAAGCCATGCTTAAAGGAATTTAGATTATTTATTTTTATATCTTTTATGACCCTAGAAAATATATAAAATACAAAAATTATACACCTTTAACTTTTGTTTCTGGACTTACCATAAGAAAGTAACAATTTACATCACATCATTATTTTCTCAATATTCTTGCACAAAATTCAGTAGATGAATAACTTAATATGTTTTTATTCATAAATTTTGAAATAGAATCTACAAAAAATGTCTTTAAATAGAATCCCAAGTTTCCTCTTTAGCTTCTTTTTCACCACTTCTATCATGTCTCAGCTTGTTGATTCTTTTCTTATCAAATTAATTGGTGATAGGAGATCATTGATATCCCTTGATGTTTTTTCCCCTTCTCACAGTAGAAATATTTAACCAAATTTGTTGAAACTTAGAACAAACTTGCTAAATAGTATTTAATTTGGGCTTAAAAAAATCATACAATTTGAACCAGCTTTCCTATAACTTTTATGCTGTGAAATTTGCAAAATTCTGATATATCTTACCTCTCTCACAAAAAGGTTTCTCGAATAGTGTTGCTCTCTATCGCGGAAGGTTTTTGCTCGCCACTAGCCTTGTAATTCCCACTTCTTTCTGTATATCTACATGCAAATGACCATACAGCAACCCTCTATGAATAGGAGTGCGACATTACCCCTATTGCAACTAACACCCTCTCTAATTATGCACCTGTTAATAACTTCTCGATTGGCAATCTTACTATCAAGACGTATTTGTCTTCGCTCGTAATTTTTGGTATATTTTCATTTAGTGTTTTTTCTCTCTCTCTCAGTACTTTTTGTTCAATTTCTTCCAGTTTATACTTTGTAAGTATTTACTTGCAATTTCAAGTAGTTACAACTACCACTGTTTTGTTACTGCACCTGCAGATTTACCAACCACATCTTTGGTCCCACAGTTATTGGCCAATGACGTGACAGCTATGATCAGTAGAGAACTGTCTAATTTCATGCAACATTCAACACCACCTGAGGAATATCCTGTCATACCAGTGCCTGGTTTGTCTGAATATGTTTCTCAGTTGCGTGTCATATCGGGAGACTTGCCCAGGCATCCTCCTTCTCTCTTTGGTAATCAGGTTCGTTTGATTTTGTCTGAGTCTCCTATTTCCTATGATTCTACCCCTGCCCTCCTTGGGAACGAATCTTTGATTTAAAATATATGTTTTTTCTTGCTTCACCGGATATTTGGGCTCATGCTAGTCATTTTGGGAAACAGTTGTGATCAGGAAGGGGGGGTCTGTATGCTTTGTCCTCTCATACATTTGATGATCATGCTTTTGCTTTTCATCATGCCAAACTACCCATATTTTGGATTCCCAAGATTTGGAATCTCTTATTCCTTTGTAGGGTTTGGACCCTATCATTAGCTTATCATTTGTCCTACTCTCTTATTCCTATCTTGGTGCCTTGCTCCCACCTTCTTTTGCCAGTCCTGACTTCTTGTCAATCTACGATGGACTATCATTTGGTTTCCTGTTGTCATTTTCAGGATATTATGCATTGGTGACTTGGTTCTCGGGTCAGGGCTAGTGGAGTCCTGACTTTTCCACTTTGCCCATGTTTGGAGGTAGTTTACAGTCGATTCATGGGTTTTGAAGGTTGTTTTCATAGGTCCGACCCTCCACTTTCTGTCATCTCCCCATCCAATTTTCTTCCCCCTTCCACGGGATCCACTTTCATGCCAGCGTTTGTTGGAGGCAGTTCAGGATTTAATTTTCAAGGGTGCCATCGAACGAGTAGATCCTTCTTATACAGGGTTTTATTCTTGTCTGTTTGTCATTCCCAAACAGACTCAAGACTGGTGCCCAGTGATTGATTTATCATCTGTGAACACTTTCTCATCATTACCAAGTTCACCATGGAGTTGTACTTCACTCTCCTTTGGGTTTTCATTCAAAGTCTGTGGATGATGAAGGTTGATGTGTCAGATGCATATCTCCATATTCCTATCTCCCTGGCATACTGACATTTCCTTCATTTTTTTTTTTCAGTTGTGTTTTTCAGTTTTTGGTGCTTCCATTTTGGCCTGGCCTCAGCTCCCTGTGTGTTCTGCCAAGTTGTTCGGTCATTCACTTGACTGCTTCATTTCCTGGTCCTTTGTTTCCACCATTACATAGACAATTGGCTAATTCTGCTCTCCATACACAGTTTCTTCATCAGGAAGTTGCTAAGGTTGGTTGGCTCATCAAGGTGGAGAAATCATTCCTCATACCTACCCAGTTTTTGGTTCATCATGGTGTGTTTTTCAATTCTCTTCTCAGACAGGCCTAACCTCCTCCATTTAGATTGCGAGATATGGAACATTTCGTTTGCAAGATCTCCTCTTCACCTTCTCCTACTGCACCAGAGGTTCTATCTCCTTTGGGGATGTGGGCTTTAATAGATGAATGGAGCTTTGTCCCTTGGAGGCTCCTCTAACCCTCCCCTCTCCATTACTAATAGACTTCGCCTGGTGACTGGATCTGACTAGTACAACTGCGGGTGTTCCTCTTACTCTGCTTTTCTGGATTGTCATCTTTTTATGGATGCTGACCTTTCCAGTTGGGGAACATACTTCGACTGTCAGGAAATTTTGGGACAGTGGACTCTTACCAAATCCACTCTCCATATCAATATGTTGGAGCTTCTTGCTGTTTTCAGCAGGCTGTCCTTCACTTCTTTCTGTCTGTTTGGGAATAGGTGGTAATGATCCACTTGAACAAAATTGACAGTGGTGTCCTATATCACCAGGCAAGGAGGCACCTGGTCAAGAGAAATTTGTTTTCAAACTTTAGATTTCCTTTATTGGGACCATAGCCATCCAATTACTTCGCTGGTGTGTCATATTCTTGGTGCCCTGAATCTGGTTATGGATTGGTTATCCAAACCCAACAAGATTCTACTGATGGAGTAGTCTTTGGATCCTATTGTTTTTCTGGGGGTTGTGTGCTCATTGAAGTGTCCCCAATTTGGACACATTCAACATGTAACTTCTCCATTTTCGGTCACCTGTTTCTCATCTGCAGGCAGATGTGGTGGATGATCTTGATCTGAATTAGACCAATTTTTACCTATGTGGTTATCCTCCTATTTGGCTTCTTTCTCATGTCCTTTTGATAGTTCTGACTACTCTTTGTCGAGTTCTGTTGGTGCCATTGTATTGGCTAGTTTAGATGTGGTTTCCACTTCTATGATAGATGTTGGTGTCACCACCCATTCCTTTCACTTTGTCTCCCATTCTCCTTTCCCAGCCTCACTTTGGTGTGTATCATTCTTCCCTACCCACTCTTCAGCTTCATGTGTGGCTTTTGTCTGTTTCCATGGCAGACAGTCTGGACTTTCCAGGCATGCTGCCTATTTGATTTCCTGTCCAGTTCGACCATCATTGGTGGTAAGGGGGGCTACTTACTGCTCTTGGTATATATATATATGCCTGAGTTACCATCCTTCTTGACCTATTTTTCCTCATTTGTCATTCATTTATCTTGGTGTTATGACAGGGGCCTATCACTTTCCTCTGTTACAAGTTACAGGGCGACTTTGTTTCCACCTTTCAGTTTACCAAATTTCTTCCTGTGTTCCACTCTCCTGTCCTATATATGTTATTCCATTCGTTCTCCATTGCTCGATAATGTTTGGAATCCAATACTAAAACAAATAGATAGAACCAGCCAAGATCTCCAGAAAGAAACTATAGATTTAGGAATAGCTTTAAGATAATTAAAGGTATTAATAAAATATCTTTCATAGTTTTGGCACGAGATAAGGCTACTTATAAAGATTCAAAAGTTTTACAGGATCAGAAATCAAGAGAAAACATCCCTTTGATGAAAACTAAATAACTGAAGCTGTATTGTCTGTTAAGAAAAAATTTAGTTCACATATTTCTACCACCAATTGACAATCTGTGTGTTATATTAAATAAACGAATTGATACCTATGCATATGTAAATAATCATTTTGGATTCCTGATGGATATTGAAAATATGTTGGTGGAGGACAAATAGAAGGCCTGTAATAGGCTGCAAAAAGCATACTCAAAAGATTTAGAAGCATCACTTTATGCAAAGTTAAATCATTTTTATGATCTAGTTGAACAAATGAAGATAAATAAGTCCAAAATGAAGACTATTCAAAATTTTTGCACCATTCTTTTAAAGTATGACCTAATATCAACTTTTCTGAATGTAGAAATTGCAATGAGAATTTATTTAACCCTCATGATAACAAATTCCTGAAGCGAATAATCCTTCTCAAAACTGAGGCTCATTAAAAATGTAAAGTAAACAAGTATGCTGCAAGAAAGATTGAATAATTTGTTGCTGATGTCACTTGAACATGAACTTCTGCAAACAATTGAATTTTCAGATGTTCTTGAATCTTTTTCTCTGAAAGACAGAAGAGTAAACATTTGATTTGTTGTGTTTAGTTTGTTTATTGATCAAGATATATTCTGATTTATTTAATTGTTCAAAAATGTAAAATAAAAAAAGAATTGATCTATAATTTTTGTTTCGTTTACTTAATTTTTGTTTTGATTTGTATTTTTATATTAATTTATTTAATTATAATAGAAAATAAAAAAATTAATCTTTTGTTTCTGATTCAATTATTTAACTGTATTTGAAAATCAAAATTTTATAAACCATTTATTTTCATTAATGAAATTGTGAGAATACATTTGGTAGCCCATTTAACAACAATAAAATGGACCTACAATATTATTGACTATTTGCAAATAGTAACTATGGAGATAGAGGTAATAAAATGAAAATCAAGTCGAGAACAACAACAGAATTTTATAAACAAAAACCTCTCGCCGAGCATTGGCTATTATATTATTTCCCTGTCAATGTTCCAATCTTCATTAAAAGGTGTAAGATGACAAAAACAAAATCTTCAAGAATCTATATATATATACTACTAAAATTCTGAGATTGTTTGTTTATTTTCTCAGTCAAAAAAATCATTCACACTATTGTTCGTGCTCTTTACAAAACTTCTTACTCCACTTTTTTGACAAAGGTGTCTTTCCTTTTACTCCAATCAACAATCAAATATTTTTTCTTGAATTTTGAATAACACTGTTGGATTGAAATATTTAATTAAATTATCTCAAATAAACCTTCATTTCGGTGCAATATTGAAATTAGCTTGAATTCTTCATAACCTCTGAATAGTGTTAGACCCAACGGGTTGTGGTGGTCTAGTAACAGCGAAAACTACTACATGTGTTAAAAATATTGTTGCCTTCTTTTTGTGTACATTAAGATTTAATATAATTTTAATATAATATTAATTGTGTTTAATATATCATATTATATAAATATTACCTGACAAGTGTTATGAAAAAGAAAAATTTATTTTGACATGTTTTAGTATTTAGGATGTGTGGAAGTGTTTGAGTCAAGAGGAATGCAAGTTTGTGAAGAAGCTCTGAAAGTTCTTAGGGTAAGTACTTTTCCCATACTCTGTAAACTACTGCATGATTAAAACAGTACAAAACATAGGTAGATTTGCTGTAGTTCTGAAAAGTATAGTATTCATTAAGCATGGTGCATTGTATGTAATTTTAGTTCAATCTTTGTTCATAAGTGGAATATTGGTAAATCCTTACTATGTACAGAAAGTTGCATAGGATTCTGATTCAAAAGTTGATATAGGTTCAGTGTTATTGAAATACTTGGATTAAAAGAATAAAGGTATTTTTTTTTAGGAACATTTTATTAGTATTAATTAGATATACTAGTTTGGAATTATTGTGATAATTTAAATTGCTTGGATATTTAACTTTTTTTTTTTGGTGGTGGGGGGTCATGTAGTATTATAATTTGAAATGGCTTTAGTGACTGTAAGCTTTTACATTGCTAATCAGAGCTAGAAACTTAAATGAAAACACCAAAGATGAGATATTTGTAATACATAAATTGTAGTAAATATTTTTATTTGGAAGGGTTCTATTGGTTTCATTTCCAGTTGTTAGAAGTACCTGAAAAATTTGACATTTGAGATGTTACTTGTGATGTTTTAACGTGGATCTCAGCAGTGGTACAAACAGTTACAGTAATATAGTAGACCACATATGCAAACACACTAAACCCTAATAATTATAAATTAATACTTTTATCGTTTTGTGCACTATATATTCTATGAGCAGTGTAGGTGATCATATCAGGCAGGCAGTAGTACTACCTATGTAGGGATGGTTTAGATTGTTCATCGAAATGGTATTTTAAATGTCTTCTCAATAGGTCATCAGAAATTTACGATATTATACAGTTTCCTTTTATAAGAATATATATATATATTTAATGACTGAGTCACAAGTTCTGGGAATGTCTTTAAAAGTTTGAATTTCTTGTTCTATTTTTTGCTGATTCTTTTTTATTACATAGCTCAAAAAGGAAAACAATGGTGTCAACCAATTTCACTGAGGTGACAGTTTGAAATGGAGTATCCACTTTTATAAGTATTATTAATAACTAGTAGTAATTAAAATAAAATCATAATTCTAGTTTAAATGGTGTTATCATTATTCCTTGAAATTCCTTACAGAAATTTGATGTTCCTTTAAAAAGCTTAAGTACAGAGAGAAATGGGAATTACCAGCCAATAATAGATAAACAATGAATATTACAGTTGGAACTTCGTTGTATTTAAAACTTGGTTATAAATACAACCTTTCTGTGTCTTTTGAAAAACTGCATTAAAAAACAACAACAAGCAAACAGGTAAAAAAAAAATTTAAAAAAAAAGGAAGTAAATGTAATGATGACTAATATCAATCCTTCCAAAAACAATGCAAACTAGATAGTAGGGATGGCAGTTGCATCATTCCTACAAAATAGCACAGGGAAGAATTAACATGTATAACTATTCCATCACAGTTGAGTTTAATTTATCCAGTTTTTGTCTGTTAACATTCTACTACACTATGTACCTGTACTATGTAGGGATAGTGCAAATGCCATCTCCGTTGCCTTGTTTGCATTGTTTTTGGATGATTGACATTAGCCATCCCTGCATTTATTCCGTTTTTTGAAAAGTTGTTTTTTTACTTGTGTATTAATGATTACATTGAAAATAGCAAATTTTTTTCATTCCATTCACTAAATTTTATAAGTTTTACATTTGCATAAGAATGAAATTCATACCTCTGTAATTTCAGTGAATTGAAAAATAACTTAAGAGTACTTATTTTAAACTTAGGAAACATGCAAGGATATTAAACTTTCAATCGTTTATAAAAAAAAAAAAAAAAAAAAAAAAAGATATACCATGTCGTAATGAACATGCAGCATGTGCATGCACGCACACACACACATTATATAAATATTCAAATAGGAGTTTGAATTACAGAGGATTCTTTAGATCTATGGTAATAATATACATATTGTTGCGTATCTGCTTGTTTGTTAATTTCTGGTATAAATTCTTTCAGGGGAACTTCAGCGATACAAGTCCCTTCTTGATTAAAACTAGTTTATTCGTTCTCGATACAAACTTTGTAATACACAGAATTTCCACAGGCAATACGTTTTCTCATCGCTTTAAACTTGACAACTTTTATAACACACGCTATAAATCACAGTGATTCACACACTTTATTTACGGTGCCTACTGTTCACTTGACTCAATTATCTATCTGCCACTGGCTTTCTTTGCCAGATTTGTATATACTAAAAAAGAGGGCATCTAGATCACACTCAAGCTGGCGGGCAAATTCATGATACTTCGAGAAACTCCAGCACGCATGCTCCTAGCATTGCATGACTTTCGCTGTTGTAACAATATCCAGTCACCTTGCCCTTGGCAATACCTGTGGTTTTCAACTAGATTGGTTAAAAGCTGTGATTCTTTTTGTTGAAATTTGGTTGAAGTGTAGTGATTTACAAATGTAGTGGTACAACATTTGAAAAACAGTATAGAGCAGGGGATTTAAGGTGATTGCAGGTTAACTCTCTGTATACAGTATAGGTCATTTTGATTGACCTTATAATCATGAAACTATACCTATTATTTCCTTTAATGTATTGATGTATTTTTGTGAAATTTGATAAGCTTATATTAAACATTACAAAGCTATTGTCCACCAAAGATTTATTTGTGAATTTATGAAGCTTTTATTGAGTCAGTCTGGGTGAAAGGTAATTTTATGTTAAGAATAAAAATTCTTTTTTTTTATCTTGCAGTTTTCAGACTTCATTTTCATAATCTCCAGAACATTTTAAACTAATGTTATTTTCTCTATGCTAACACCAACTGTATTGGTCTCAGTCATGTAACGAAACACAAATGAAATAAATCTAAGTTGCCTTTTTTATTTCTAGAATAATTGTACATTGCAACAGGCAGCTTTGGAGGTAAAAATAAATAATGCAACTAATAGATTTTTCATTTAGTTTTATTTCTTTAAAATTGTATACAAGCCCTCTTTTATTACACTAGGCAATTTTCTGAAAGAAAAAAAACAATCAAATTATCAGCATGCATACTCAAATAACACAAGTATACCTTGTACTGCTGAACATGTTGGCTACAGAGGATTTTGTTCATTTTTTTTTTTATCTAATATAAGTTACCAATTTTTACAGTTTAGTTATATAACAATAAATAAAAAATATACATAAAAAAACAAGAAATTTAGTACTTATGTCTGAAAACCTGGTCTGATACTATGGTCTCAGAAATAATTTTTGTCTTAATTTAAATATGCAACTTACAATCTGAAATATTGCCACAATTATCATGATCCATAATAGTGGTTTGTAATAGGGATTTTACAGGAATTTGCTCAAAACTTTAATAGAACATTTGGGCAAAAACCACCTTAAAAAGCAGACTTATTCTTGAAACAACACTCAACCTTCATTTTCAATACTTGAGACCACCCAAACATTGATAATAAGCAAAATATGTGATTTCATGATTGTTAGATAAAAATCAAAATTTGCCCATTTGTTCATATTATTATTATTCACATTATTGTTTCACAAGTCTACAGCAAAGTCGGGTGGGTATTTTGCACCAAATCTGGACAGATATACTATATGAAACACTATGAATGTCCATTTCTGATTATTGTTCATTGAAAGTTGATTTACGTGGTGATAGATGCAATGTTCTTATGAGCAGCTGCCTTTGTACTTGACGTGTTTACATGAAACCCCAGGCAAAAAAACCACGTGGCTCAGTAAATAATTACTTTAAAAGACAAAGCTTTGTCTAAAGTGATGTTTGAGACATTTGTTTTATTTGAAAACACTTGTGTTCTACTGGTAAAATATTATATGCACTTAGTGGGAATTGTGTTTTACTCTAGGAATATATTTGCCCATTGCTGTTCATTAAAAAAACTAATATGCATTATAATTAAAAATTGAGAAAGAATTAGAAAGTAGAGAAATAATTTTAATCAAAATGCAAAGATTATATTATCAAGCCTACAACTACGAACTCTAAACAAAAGTAAAGAAACTAGGCTGGGAATAGTGTCTACATTGTTTTCTCAAGCTATAAATCCCTATTTTGACTCAAAAATAAAAAAGAATGTCCTAAATCTAATACATTTTATTTGGCTTTCTAACTAAGCTAGAAATTGGTAACTTACATGCCTGGTCAAACAGAATTTTAATCTGACAAAGAACGATAATGGTGCCAAAATGTTCAAAAGTGTTTATACTAATGCTTCAAGCTCCAATACATTCAGCAAATTGAAATCTTCTATTTCTGTTGTTTGAAAATAATTCAATAAGAAATATTGGAGTGTGACAGAAACTTACTTTATAATAGTATACGTTAAAGTAAGTATATGGGTGTGTTGGG